CACCGGGCAGGCGCGGGGCAGGCTCCAAACTTACTGAAACTTCCTCTTTTATCCCATTTTTCCGTGTGACACGCACCGAGCCCGGCTCCTGCCTTCCCGGGAGCTCCCCTGTTATTGTGTCGGTGTCTGCCTGTCCCCAGCTGTCGCTGTGTGGCTGGGGGGGGGCAGCCCCGCTTTTTTGGTCAGCCCTGTTCTCCAGGGGAGCCTCACACAGCCTGCCTCCTCCAGCCCTGGGGCTCACACAGCTGAGTCAAGGATGGTGAAAGCAACCCTGGGCTTTGCTGCTTAAAGCATTTCATCCTTTGTATCCCTAAACTTTTATTTTTGATGTGTTGCAATGTTAAAGCAAGTGTGATTTCGTGTTACAAAATGGATAGATGGAGCATTCAACAGGTGTCATTTGTGCTTAACAAAACACAGCTGAGTGGGAGGGAAAATGATTATTAGTCTTCATCAATTTTAATATTGGTTCAAGTCCTCTAAAGTGTAGCTGTTTTGCCTGTGACTTGTGTGAGGGTTTTAGAAAGCTCTTCCTCTTTAAACAAAGCAGATGGAGTGTAATTGCTTACAGGAATGAACTCAAAAGTTATTACACTTACTGTAGGTCAGACAACTCTCTGATATGTCCTTTTTGCTTTTAGAAGCTTATTACCTTTATTAGGTTTCATCAGCTCATAATCAGATGCACAGATGCAAGTTACTTTCTGACCAGAAGTTCCAGGCTGCTCCCTGTTTGGATTAACTCTGGTCATACACAGACCTGATTAACTAACCAGCAAAACCAGCTGCTGGCATGAGCTAAATTCATAATGATTAACACAGCTACACATTCCTGTATCGTGTATGTGACAAATAGTATGATTCAAAGGAATTTTGTGAACCTTGTGGGATAAGGTCTCACCGTCACATTATGATGTCCATTTTAACTGTGACTTTTGCTGGTAATGGGGCAATGTTCATATCACTTCTTATAATGTCAAACAAGGCTGAGGTAGTACAATATATGGAGTTTTGAACTGCTTATATCTACCCTGTTTTTCCAATATAATGACCTAATTAAGCTGTTAGTGTGAAGTGGAAATCATAATTTTCTGGCTGAACATGAGCCAGCAGTGTGCTCAGGTGGCAAAGAAGGCCAACAGCATCCTGGCCTGAAGGAAGTGGAGTTGTTTAGTCTGGAGAAGAGGAGGCTGAGGGGAGACCTTCTTGCCCTCTACAACCACCTGAAAGGAGGGTGTAGTGAGGTAGGTGTTGGTCTCTTCTCCCAAATAACAAGTGATAGGACAAGAGGGAACGGCCTTCAGTTGCACCAGGGGAGGTTTAGGTTGGATATTAGGAAAAAATTCTTCACTGAAAGGGTTGTCAAGCACTGGAACAGGCTGCCCAGGGAAGTGGTGGAGTCACCATCCCTGGAGGTATCTAAAGGACTTGTAGATGTGGTGCTTTGGGACATGGTTTAATGGTGAACTTGGCAATGCTGGGCTTATGGTTGGACTAGGTGATCATAATGGTCTTTTCCAGCCAAAGTATTCTATGATTCTATTATTTTGGTAATGAGCAGAAACTGGTTATGTTTTTTTTGTTAAAATAACATGTCTGCTTGCTTGTTGCCAGGCACTGGATGACCATAACTAAACAATGTCTGTACCACGTGGAGCTGTCCATGCAAAATGGATAGTGGGGAAAGTAATCGGAACCAAAATGCAGAAAACTGCCAAAGTGAGAGTGACGAGGCTTGTGCTAGATCCTTACTTACTAAAGGTAAAAGCTGGTTAACATCTTGCACGGTGATTTTTATACTGTGTGGAGGAATGCTTTATTGATTTAACTCTTAGGATTTTTAATAGCTCTTTACAATGCAAACTCCTTAAGGAACTTGTGTAATGAGTTGGCTGTGGGGATGACTGCAGGTGATGAAAAGCAGTGTGTTGTGGGGCTACTTCATACAGATTATCTGCTGAATGTATTTCTTTGAAGTGTTTGTTAATGCACTTTATTTGATCTGAGTTGTGAAGGTAAGTTTTTGTTGTTTCACACTTAGATTTAATTTTTCATATTGATTTGGAGTATGCTTTGTTTTGGAAACTTTGTTATATTAGTCATTTTTATGATAAATTTTGTAGCAGTTTTTTTGTAGGCATAGTTGTAAACATACTTAGTATTTGAATCTGTACAGTGATGTGCTGTATGAGCTTTGTATTTATCACTTCTTGTCAATGCATTTCAGACAAGGAGGTTAAAATTAGGGGTTTTTTTCCATTTTTAGATAGGGAAGATGTGGTACATGTAGGTGGAATTAAATGCCTTTGGTATATCCAGAAAGTTAAGGATAGAGTCAGGATTAGATAATGGGTAGAAAAACTTGTTAATTTCTTTCTTAGAAGAAAGATGCTGAATTCTGCCCTTCCAATAAGAATAAATTCTGAAATTTTATATGAAAAAAAAAAAAAAGAATTGATAAAAAAATCCCCTCAAATTACAAATTTCAAAATACTGATTTCAGGGCTGATGAACTTTAGGCATGTTAGGATGAATAAGAATTAATATCAGTTCTTGAAGTGTGGTCTGCACAGAAAAGTTCAGCTTGGAAGAGCCAAGGCAGCTGTCTTGCTGAAGCAGTGTTGCTGTGAAGCATCCTAAGGAGAGGAAAGGCTAAAACACAGCAGAGAGGCCAGTGGAAAGTTCTGATCCTAGGAAAGGGAATCTATGTTAAGAGCTTCTTATTTTTTATTGTATCCACATGTTCACTATGAACAGCTTTTTGTACATGCCTTTTTTCTTCCCCATCTCCTTTTCTACTGGTTCTATTGGTGACAACATCCTGACTAGAGAAATTGTCAGGGAAGGGTAGTGCTGTGCTTTCTTTGGAAAAACAGTAGAGTGCACAGTTGCATTTCTCCTCATGATCCGAACTGAATCTCATTTTTAAAAAATTATATACTACTTTTCCTTAGTGAAATTTAGTTTGTTTTCTGTTAACTATATATTTGTCAATTGCTTAATTTTGAAATCTAATGCCAGGTTTTCCTTTCTTCCTTCTACAGTTCTTTAACAAACGAAAAACCTATTTTGCCCATGATCCATTGCAGCAGTGTGTTGTTGGAGACATTGTTCTTCTGAAAGCTTTGCCTGAGCGAAGGAGCAAACATGTGAAACATGAACTGGCTGAGATTGTTTTCAAGGTTGGAAATGTCATAGATCCAATAACAGGAAAGCCCTGTGCAGGAACCAGATTCCTTGAAAATCTGTCAGATTCGGAAAATCTCACAGAGGCAGATACTAATTATTTAAGTGAAAAACTTCAGGAACTTAAAGTTTGTCCAACAGACAAATAGTGAGGAAAATATTTAAACAGAGGGCTTTTCAGCTTGTCTCTGTCAGGGTTGCTTGGGGCCCTGCTGTTGTATGTTACATGTTTCAGTGAAATCTGTAGTCAAAATAAATAGTAAACACAGTTGCTTATAAGAGCGGATGTTACAGATTGATAGGCACCTGAAATCTTTAAATGAAAATAGAGAGAAAATTTGAGTTTAGTGTTAATGCTTCATTTTGTTGCATGTAGTTTTGCCCCAAGCCTTGACAGTTTCAAAGCCAGCTGCTCACTTGGAATGACTCTTCTGGATTGAGAAAGACAAGAATATAACTATATAATGTTTAAGTTTGGTGGGAGGGTCATTATATTATTTGATCTGTATTTTGGACAGTCTTTTGTGGTTTGTAGTATTACTTAAGATAATGCTATTAAACCTTTTGAAAGGAAGTGTAGAATTTTAAAACCAGCTACCTGCATGTGTCCTTATTTCCTGTTACAGCTCTTAATACCATTTTGCATATCTTCTGACTTCCAAAATCCCTAACAAAAACACAGCCACTTGCTTTTATAATGGCAGTTCAGGTGAGAATAAAAACTTTGGGTAGCTTAGCATGGTCACCTTTGTAACCTGTCCAAAGGAAGCATTTAGTTCTGGGAGAGATGGATCACTTTGAGCTGCCAGCAGGAAATAGAAGCTGATGAGAACACAAAGCCAAAAAAAGTAGAAGTAAAGATGGTTAGATGTAGTCTCATGAGAAGAGCTAACTAAAACAACACATTTTGGGAGAGATACAGGTACTGATTTGATGTATACTTTAGTATGAAACTAGAATGCCATAGCAGTTAAAGGTCACTTTATCCTGCTACAGCTCTGGGGATCTTGTGTCCTGTCTTTCAGGACATAAAGCAAACTAAGAGTGGGCAGCTGTTACAGCAGCCTTGTGTTAGTGGCTTTTCATTCAGATCCAAAGGGGCACCTGCCTCAAAACCCAGCACTTGTGGGGGATACTATTCCATGTCCCTGTATGGCAGGAGGAGTGGTATATTAAAGCTATGAGAAATCCTTTTTAAAGTGCCTACTATGTCCTTGGTCTTTGTTTAAGATCAGAAGCTAAATAAGGTGTATCTGGACAGAGTTCCCCTGTTCTAAGATACCTGACTTTAAGAAACTGAGCCACTTTACACTAGTAAGCTGTCAGTTGTGTTCTCTTCCATTGTCAGAGTTGTAAATCCTTTGCCCTTTAACTTCCTTCACCTGCACAAAATCAGTTTCTGCTGCCTGCAAACTGCTCACCAAGTCCAGTTGAACTCAGCAAATTATTTGGGGCAGGAAGAATGAGAAACTTAAATTTTCTTCAGTGCTTCAAACCAAAAAAATCCTGCTCTTTGACTGCTAGTCCTCAAGTACTGTCCTGCATGTCAGATCAATAGGCTGGGATGTCAAGACACCTTGATTCAAATGTCTTTGTGTAAAACAATAATGCGAACATGGTCTCTGACCCTGAGGAATTGTCTTAAATGTATGGCTGTAGGTTATTCCTGTTGATGTGTTTGCTGAAGTGGTTTAGGTTTATGTAAATTACTTAGTAACTGTAGCTGGCTGATTTAGAGCCCTATTTAAAGTGGAAGGAAACCTGGGCTCTGACTCCTGCTCAAGCAAATGCAAAATGTGAAACTTCATCCCTAGCAGGGATTGAAAGAAATCAGACCCAGGCTGGAACTCTGGGCTGTAGGAAATACGCTTAAGTTGTATCTGTGCAGGTAGTAAAGGAATTTGACCCTCAGTACTTGGGATATGAGTGTTCAAATAACTAGACATATAATCTTTATAAGAAATAGAAAAAGCTTCCTGTTTGGTTAATGGGTTGCATCTACATCTGATTGTGGAAGTAAATTATCTTACCTCCTGTGATTTTTCTTGAGTAGCTATGAAAATGTCGTAATTTTTCTAAGATTGATTCATCACAGAATGGGGTTTTTTTTTTCAGTTTACAGGTAGGTGCTGGGAGGATTGCTCAAGAACTCAATGTGATGAGTTAAAACGTGATTAAATGTACATAGAATCATAGAATCATAGAATGGTTTGGATTGGAAGGGACCTTAAAGCTCATCCAGTTCCAACCCCCCTGCCAGCAGCAGGGACACCTTCCACTAGACCAGGTTGCTCAAAGCCTCATCCAGCCTGGCCTTCAACACTTCCAGGGAGGGGACATCTACAACTTCCTTGGGCAACCTGTTCCAGTGTCTGACCACCCTCACAGTGAAGAACTTCTTCCTAATATCTCATCTAAACCTCCCCTCTTTCAGCTTAAACCCATTTCCCCTTGGTTTGTCATTAGTTGTCCTTAGGAAAAGGACATAGTCTGAAGTGTAACTCCTTTTTAGAAGCATGATGACAATTGCAGGTTAAACTGGTCTTTTAAAAGGCACCACAAACACTTCAGTGGTACTAAATCACACGTCAGGTGCCAGCCTCTGACTTACTGTCAGTGCTGATATAAAATGGTGATGGAACCCACAGTGATGCGATAGGAGCTCCATATGGGCTATGGTGAAAGACAAGGTTTGCTCATTAACTTGTTTTCTATGTTTATTAGCGAGTTGTTTTTAGAACTGACCTTTAACTATTAGCCTAATTATAAGTTTATTCTTATTTAAAGTGATTTAAGGGTTTGATGTTAGCACACACCACTGAGCCCGATTAATTACTGCTGTGGGTGAACAGAGTGTGAGGAAAACACGTCAGCTCCACGCGGGTGAAAAATGTACTTGGAGAAGAAGAAACACGTTTTTGCAGACGACTCAAAACAACCTCTGGGCTTTTTCTTAGAGGGTTTTTTTTTTAGGCGAGACCCTAAACCGGGGCCGGGGTCACCCCAGACCCTGCCCGGCCGGGGCAGTCGGCGCGTGCGCACCTGGACCCCCCGGTGGTGCTGCGCCCCTCGCGTCCGCCGGTGGCGCTACAACACTCAGCGCCCCC